TTGCCGCCGCCGGAAACGCCGCAGCCAACCGCCCCGCCATGGCCACAAGGAGCAGCCCCAAGCAGCACCCCGGAACTCCGCCGTTCCACAAGGCCCAGGAAGTCTCCCGCATACCTCCAGGACTTTGTATATGGGTAGTTTGGACTATGGGGGGAGGGGTGTAATGTACTGCTGCCTTTCCACGTGTAAGGCATCAGCCTGACATGCCCGGACTTGCCCGGGCTGGCCAGGCACAATTCATCTGTAGCTTCAGTCGATAGACAAAGGATCCGAAGGATCCTAGCCGGCCCAATCAAAGGGCTAGCTTCCCAGCCAGGAGACCAATGGTCGCCCGGTTATTGTAAATAGCCTATCGGGAGTAGGGGGTGTGTTTAGGTGTACTTGGTGGCGGGCTTTCTGAACGCATATAAACCGGCCTGTGAGCGGGTTTCCTTTGTCTTGTTCCTGATCTAATAAAGTACTCTTGCTGAATCACTATTGCTGAATCACTCCACGTTCTGAGTACTTTTCATGTAACAAGACAACTTTGGCCGGCTCGCAGGCCAGCTTATATCCCCCAAGAAACCGCCACCCAACACACACCCCTACTTCCCTATAGGTTATTTACAGTGTGTCAGCAAGCTGCCAATTTGTCTTTCCTATATGTATTAGGCATGCCTAAAACCCCCTAGTGTCTAATCCCCCCATTGCCATGGTACCTGTAATCTGCTCTTGTGCGTATGTCCACCCTCACCCTCATGCGCCCATCTTCTCCTCGACTGCATTCCTTTCTATGTACGCTAGTCTTGCTTTGATGGAACGTTATCAACCCAAGGCCACAGGTGGTGTGCGGCAGGAGGCTTTTGCTTAGTCTGTAATGACTATGTAGTGTGGGAATAGTCTAATTGTTTGCATGGAACCGTTGCTTCTCAGGGTTTGGGCGCGCAATGAGCCTTCTAAGCGGGCGCGGGAACCATATCTATTGGCTATTGTAATTATGCTTTAACCTATCTGTCAAACGCTCATCTCGTTATTCTGAACAGAGAATCTGTTCTAATTGCTTCATGGCTTCAATAAAGTAAAACCTTCCTGCAAGTGTGTACTTAATTACCTGCAGTGGGGTCTGACACAGTGGCCGAGAGTCCCATAGGCTCTCAGCCGGGAACCTAGTCCCCTGATTGGAATGGGCTAGGATCCCCATAGTCCATTGTTTCTTGGAGCGAAGCTCGACGTTTGTCTCTTTTTAATCCCCTGAAGGGTAGCTTTATTGATTTTTTATTACACCTACGTGACTACAAAAAGGAAAGAAAAGAGAGGGAGAAAAAATGGAAGGGGGGGAAAAAAATAACAAACTAAAATAACAAACCCCAGGATACAAACAGTATAAAGAAAGAAAACCCACACTATAACTAAAAACCCAAGAAAGTAGGGTCATTAACAGTTAGTATGCAGTTAGTTATAAAGATTAATGCTTTCATTAAGTCAAGGAATTTAGGAGATTAGTTAGTCCATTTTGTTGTATATCTAATTTCTTCTCAGTGTGCACATAGACTTCTTCCAGCTCATCCATAAGTCTTTTTAGTTCATAAGTGCTATTTGGCAACTCTTAGCCGCAAGTCATATGCTTCTCTGGCCGTGCCTCCTTCTGCTCCAAGTAGGTCTCTGTCCGTCTCTTCCAGGTCAGCTGCCTGGCCTCCTCCGTCTTGCTGCTCTTCCTCTTTCTGTCCGAAGAATTGCTTCAACCATTCTTCTGCTTTTAACACCGAGTCGATTTTTTCTCTTTTGTCTCTATATTTGAATTGGACCCCTTCTGGAAAAAGCCAGGAGTATTGAATTTGGTTGATCTGAAGTGTTGAGATGAGTTCTTTGTACGCTTTTCTTTTCTGTCGAACCTCAAATGGAACGTCCTTAAGGACCCTGATACTTGCTGATCCCATTTGCAGGGGTTTGTCTGCTGTTGCTTTGAGAATATCATCTCTTGTCTGTCGTCGGAGAAATTTGACCACGATCTCGCCCGGCAGTTTGTTTTGCTTAATATATTTAGAGTAAGAACGATATGTCACTTCTATCTCTGCATGCGCTTCAGCCGTTGCAATGCCGAGCGATAGAGCGATTAGCTCAGCTGCCACATCTTTCAAAATTTCTCCTGTCGTCTCAGCCACCCCTTGGAATCTAAGGGTTTTATTCGCTTTGTCCATTTGTAGGTTCAATAGCTTCCTTTCGTGTAGATCCTGCTTTTGTTCCATCAGACCAACTCTTTTCTTCAGCTTTTTAGCATCATGTGTGGTCTCTTTAAGTTTTTCATCAGTTTGGATCGATTTTTTCACAAGCTCGGTGATCTGCTGTTGCTGTTTTGCCATGCTCTGGTTTGAGGCAGCAATCAATTGGTTAAGGCCATCGAGTCTTTCATGAATGGGCCGAAGCAGCTCTGTTAGTGTGGAGAAAACATCTCCTTCCTCCACTCTCGGACTTTGAGAACCACGCCCCCCTCTTACTCCTCTCCCTCGGACGCCGGCCATTTTCCGCTTTGTTTATACTAAAGAGTGCTTTTTCACACTTCTTCAGCAAGTGCTGGTTTATCCGCAAAAAACAGCTAAGTCTCTGGCACGCTTGAGTGATTAATTGTCTTCTCCCCCTCCCCGTCTCTTTAAATCACAGTTCGGTTTGTTTACGTCTGGGATTCCTCCCGACGCCGCTGAGGGTGGGGGGGGGATCGGAACTCACTTTTAAAGCTTCTTCGCTCGTCTCATTCTCCAGTTCCTTGACAGTCTGATCACAGACTCCTTTTAATCATGCTTCATTCGCTGACCCGCTTGCTTGTCCCGATCGGCATTCAGCTATGCTCGGTAAAAACCGAGCCTCTCAGGGGGTGGACCGAATGGGGCAGGGAGGAGCGCCTCAATTCCCCGGCTTCAAGCCGTGGAAGAGGTCGCCCCTCAAGCGCCCCCGGCTTGGAGCCCCACACTGAGGCTCACCTGGGGGTGCCACTTGAGGTGACACCCCTCCAGCACCCCTGGAGCGCGGAATGCCTCCCCCGTTCAGGAGAGAGCCTCCGCCATCGCTGAAGCCATAGACCGGAAGTCAGCTCGACGTTTGTCTCTGACCACGTGGAGCCTGAGCCGGCCACGCGGTCTGGACTGGATACATTACACTATACCTGATGGTCTGTCTTTCCTTTTGATTTTTTAAAAATATCTTCTCTCTCTCTCTCTCCCTCTCTCTCTCTCTCTTTCTCTGACTGATTTCCCACAAGCTGCTGCAGCGCGCTGGCTCTTCCCTTTGCCCCATCGTATGTGTCAATTTCACACTAAGTGCTGTGCAGCTGCATTTTGACCCCTAGCTTCACTAGATTTCCCCCGCCTCTACTCAATCCTCAAAAAACAGGATTGAGTAGAGGCGGGGGAAATCTAGTGAAGCTAGGGGTCAAAATGCAGCTGCACAGCACTTAGTGTGAAATTGACACATACGATTGGGGCAAATCGGCCTCTCTCTCTCTCTCTCTCTCATTTCCTTTTTTTATTTGCTTGAAAACAGGGTTTGTTCTTCTCAACTGCCATAGAGAGCTTCTTTGAGGTCCTAGAAATATAAAACAATAATCATAACAAGAACAACAGTGCTGATGCTGTTAACTCTCTCTGCTAGGAGGTCGGTATTTTACAGACAATTCGGAAGTCATTGGCCCCGGTCACATGAGTGAGATAATCTGGGGGAGAAGTGAGGCTTCTTGCTCTGGAGCGAAATGAAGCACGGTATCATGATCCGATGTTCCCCCGAGGCTCCATGCTCAGGCTGTCAGTCGCTGATCACACAGTGATGGTGAAGCATGGCAAATGAAGCAGTACCACGTTTGTGCGTATGCGTGTTTGTGCGCATACCACGGAGGCTTACAAGAAAACATCCGATCAGACACTCACTCGGGCCCTGTGTTTTCTGGATAATACTACACTTTCCCAGCTACTTTTAAACTCCGCATCTTCGGCCGGATGCTACAAGTTGGAGACGGGCGCGCGACGCTTGCCAGATGTTGCTGTATGATCGCACTCTTTTAATCCACTTGGCAGTCATGCCTCTCACATGGCAAATTCTCCGTGTGACCGGGACCATAGTTACCTTAATCCCATGGAGCAAATCTAGCCCCCCTGTAAGGGGCTGTTACCCCAACTTGTCAGACAGTCCA